ACTTCCTCAGCTCCTCCTTCTCTCAGGAACCCTTGTCCTCGTCTGGCTTCTGCGGTCCCACTGTCCTTAGAGTCCTTCCTCGCAGCTGCTCCTCCTTCAAGTGTTATTTTCCAGAGCTCTGACTACTGCTTATTTCCTCTCTCCCTTTGTTCGCCCCTTCTGGGAGCCCTGCGTTGATTCACACACCTGCATCGGTCAACACCACACCTTTAAATTCTGTGGCGACCTCTGTGGAGAGGGTCACTCAGCTGTCTCTTACGTCTGCACGCAGTCTGTAAAATCGCCGCTCAGTGCCTCCAAGAGCTCCAGCTCTTCCGGGGTGGGGATGCGGGGTCCCTGCCCCGCGTGCACAGCTTCCTAGGTTCCATCCCAGCCCAGGGAGTCGGGGGCTTCATCGCCGTCTCTGAGCTGTTCCTTTGTGCTTTCCTTATCAAATGCTCTACCACCGTCCACGGAGAAACTCCCGACGTCATCCGCCAGGCTTGATCTTGCCGGCTCTATTTCCAGCCGTGCCTGGAACCCTGTGCCTGTACCCCTCAGCTCTGCTGAAATCCTTGCTTTTGCTTCGCCTCCTCTCCTCCTTCTGCCTCTCCTCACACAGTTGGGTTGAGCCAATCTCATTTCTTAGCGTGGTAAGGAGGCCCTCGCTTCTCACGTTCTCTTCTTCCCCGGAGCCGTCGTCCACGGTGTGTCAGGAAGGCGTGTTGATCATGTTCGTATGTACCTACTTGGTCGTGTGTCTCCTCGCCTCTCCTTTTCCATTACTCCATTATTTTGAGAATGCAATCCAAAGGCTTCAGAATGCTCAGACTTGTGGTCTGGCCCGTGTTTCTGGCAGAGTTTCTTTTTCCCTCCAGTCCAAACTTGCTGAGCCAAACTTGGACTCCAGCTATTCAAACTTCTTGAGGATCCTGAATGTGCCATGCTTTATATTCCTTCTGCCTTCATTGCTACTTTCTGCAATTCTGTCAAGTCCCACTTGTCTTTCAAATATCGCTTTAAGTAGCTACTTCTCCAGAAAGCCTTGAAAGATTAAGGGTTAGGGTTAATTGCCCAATTAGAGTATTATCTCAGGCTGAAGTTCCTGAAGGAACTGGATCTTCCCTTTTCCTATGTGCAGGAAGACACGGCCATTCTCCTGGGAGGGTTGGCCTTCAGACACAAATCCCGGGGAATACCTTTCACCTGAGGGTGGAGAGCAGGACTGCAGTGGACCCGAAGAAGCAAACTCGGAAGAACCTTAGTCTTCCACCAGCTTCCACTCCTCCCACGTGTCTTCTAGTCCAGGTACTCATTTGTCCTGTCATTTAGCAAATTTACTGTTCCCTGTCTGAAAAGTAGATAATCATACTTCAGTCACTACTTTGGATTTCACTGCCTTAGGAACATCCCTGTGACTGTAAATGAATAGCTCTTCTAGTCCTGGAGGCAGCCGGGGAGCCCTCCTGAGCCCTGGGGCGGACACGACTGGGTCCCTGTCCCCGAAGCTCCTCTGCAGGGCTCTCTCTCAGCTCCTGGATGAACATGAAGCTCTCTTCCCCTGGATCCCAAAACATGTCCCACTAGGTGCTTGCAGCTTTGCTCTGCCAGCTCTGTTTCAACCCCAGCTTTCGCCTCCATCTTTGGTGTCTTCTTGGGCAGACACTGACTCTTCAGGGGGTCAAGGGAGAGCAGAGTTCCTTCATTATTTCGTGAGAATGCTGCAGCCTCTGGAGTTTTCCCAAAGCTGAAAGTACCGGCTGGATGCATGTGATCAGATATTTCTTAGTGATGATACACATGCACTTGATAATTTGCCAAGCGAGGGGAAGAATGATAAAGATTTGTACCTGTGTGTATTTTTCCTTGTGTCATTTTGAGTTTTCATTATGAATCTTTCCCAGCCATTATAGCGTTGTAATTCAGTCTCCGTAAGTTCTTTGGCCTGCGAATCTGGTGTTTGATCTGTATATGTGATAACTAACTTCATAAGGCCTTATAAGATAAGCCAAGGAATCTGATGCTGGAAGAAGAAAATGAGTGTGTGGGGAAGAGTGGGGCTGAAGTACCAATCCCCTAACGGGAGTGCAATTATTGTGACTGCAAACAGGTACTAATAAAAGTAAAAACAGAAATACTCTCTCTAGTTTGTAAAAACATGGAGAAAAGTAATTCGGCATGAAAAACCCCATAAAATTGGAATGCTGGGGGAATATTTAGGAAGATTGTGTATCACCTCCCACGTATGGAAATGATCTCTCCTCAAGCGCTCCTGAAGGCTCGTCAGCGGTGGGTGCAGAGGGCCAGGAAGTATCATCCCAGGGAGCTTCAGTAGTGACAGCATGTGGCTGGCCAGGCACCAGGGGCGCTCTGTGTAAATCAGAACCCAGGCGCCAGCTGAGCGCTTCTCCTTGTCTGTTTCTCAAAGAAAGGGACGTGGAGCAATTCTTACAATTTGACAGTGTTGGGAATTACATGTGAGAAGGGATGATTTATTTCCTCTAGTTTCAAGAACTTATTCAGTAACTGCTTGGAGCAATGAGATTGTCTGGCCTAAATTACAAAATAGCATCTGTGGTCTTTGCTTCAGCCTGTACCCTGCTGTAACGTTTTCCTTAATTAGAAGTGGAGCACAGTGATATTTATCTAGTAGTAATACTAAGAATACCGATTGGTCAGAGTTTGTAGTATTTTGCAAATATATGCACCAGCTCATAAGTATTACCAACTAATATTAGAATAACATTGTGTGGTACACTCACTTTAATGGTTCTATAATTTCTACTTTATTTTGTTTTTGGTATTTATGTATCTTTTCTATCCTATTCAGACAGCATGGTTCAACAAATATTACTGTTTATTTATTTATTCTTTTTCCATTAACTATTGGTACATTTTAGGTATACAGTACAGTTACAGTCATCATTGGGATCTTATACTGTTACATGACGAATCTTGGCTCTTATTTTTTCCCCATTCCCCTGCCCTCCCTTCAGCCCCTCCACCCCTCCCTATTTACAAAGACTTTGTTTCCACTTTTTTCTTTTCTCATATTTTTTCTTTTCCCTTCTTTTCTTTCCCCTACCCCTCCCACTTCCCCTATTCCTTTAGACCTTTTCTTCCTATTTCACATTATCAGTTATACATTTTGATCCTTATTAACACTTTTAGTTTTTCACACCAGAGAAACTATTCGGTATTTACATATTTGTCCTGTTTATTTCACTTAAGAGTATGGCCTCAACGTGCATCCACTTAGCTATTAATATCTCTGGTTTCTCATTCTTTATGGCTGAGTAGTACTCCATTTTATAAAAAAAAAACCCACATCATCTTTATACAGTCTCCAGTTGATGGGCACTTGGGCTATTTCCAAGTTTTAGCTATTACAAACTGTGCTGCTATGAACATGGGTGTGCATATATCACTGTGGTATGATTCTTTTAATTCTTTTGGGAAGATACCCAGCAGGGGAGTAGCTGGATCAAATGGGACCTCTACTCCTAGTTCTTTGAGGTATCTCCATACTGATTTCCATAGTGGTTGCACCAGTCTGCACTCCCACCAACAATGGAGAAGGGTTCCTTTCTCCCTACCCCCCCAGCAGCATTTGTTATTGGTTGATTTCTTCGTAGCAGCCATTCCTACTGGGGTGAGGTGGAATCTCAGTGTTGTTTTCATTTGCATCTCTCCATGTTTATTTTTATTTGTGCTAAAGTATTCCTAGTTTTAATATATTTTATTTAGTAACTAGTTTGTTTTCAATGCAAATCGTTCCTCTGTTTTTCTCTAAGGCACTTCATTCTTTTTTTAATGACTTTCAGTTTTCTTTCTTCTTCAGCTTATTATTCTTTTATATGTCTCCCTAACTTCATTTAAATTATTTGTTGTTTTACCTTTTTATTCCACATTTAATTTTTTATTCTATTACATTTAAATTTTTCTGAGAAGAATTTTGTGACCTCGGTATAGTGCTATAATTCTTCTCTAAGGAAGAGAAGACACACATAGTTAAGTTCCATGTGTTGCATCAAATATATGTAGATAAAAATTCAACCTCAGATATTAAACCATCTCCTCTCATTCTTAATACAATATTAGTGTTACCTTACATTTACCTGGGGAGAAAAGGTTACATACACTAGATCTATAGCATGAGAAAGAATAAATTAAATATAGGAAAGAATTCAAAATGAAATCACATTGATTCAAATGAAGAAAAGCGTGTGGTATTTGGTAATGTTTCTATGCTAGAAAAAAATTAAGATAGAACATGGATTTAGGTTTTTGTAAAATGCCCTCATATCCATAGCTCATTTGCATTAATCTAAAGAATATTCCTGAAAAGAATTTGCACTTAAATCCTTCAATCATAATTTTAATGATCAAAACCATTGTTTTAAAATTTAAGCTTTGATTCCAAGTCTAAGAGTCAGCTGGGGAGAAAATCACTTTCAACCCTTGTGCTTGAAGACGTTTGTTGCGACGTAATTTGTAGTTGTTAAAAGCTGATGTCTCTCTTCTAAAAAGGGAGGACGTGCAATGTATTGTGGAATATTAAATGGTGGCCATGGGAGGGAAATGTTTACAAAATATTTGTAATGGTATGTGACAATCATGTGACATAAAGACAAGATACGTGAATGGTCTGTACCATGCTTTCACTCACTGAGGGTAAGAATTTTAAAAGACTAGAAGAGAATGTATCAAAGTGTTTAGAGCGGTTGTTATTGGGTGGTGGAATTACCTTTGCATTTTCCTTTTATGGGATTTTAATAAAATATTAATGAAGCTTTTTCATCATATTGCACAAGGTACCTATGTTATTTTCGTCTTTCTGACTGGTGAAATTGCGAGATCCTAAGAGCGTCAGTGCCAGTTTGAAGGTGGAAGGGAGGGTGGGCATTGTGGAGCCAGGAGGCGTCAGAGGCTGTGCATGAAGGCCCGAAGCATGGCCATGAAACGCCGTATGGCCCGTGTCTGCCCTGCTCAGAGGACTCTCTTCCTTCTTCCCTCTGCAGGATCAAGTCCTGGGTGGACCGGATGCAGGAAGACTTGGTCACGCTGGCGAAAACAGCAAGTGGCGTCACCCAGCTCGTTGACGTGAGTGAAATCCGCTGGAGAAATGTTCCTGTGTTGCGTCCTCTGCATGCAGCTCCAATTCTTGGAGATGGTGCATCTGTCTTACATTTTGGGCACAGTTTCTCAGGGGGACCTGCTCGTTAGTGTGAACGGTGTCACCCGTTACAACGGCTGAAGCCTTCTCACTGCGCTCACAGTCCACACACTGCCCTTGCTGTGTGAGTCCCCCTGAGGTGTGTTCTCTCCCACCGTCAGAGCTGGGTGCTGTGCAGTTACTACTATGGTACTTTCGTTCTTCACAGTGTATTACGCAGTTTCACGTGTAGTGGTGGCTTCAAGTCCTGCAGTCTTTGGAATATCCTGAGTGGGAGCATGTCTTCACTCCTGGGTGGTCAATTTTACTTTTTTATTAAATTGCAATGAGTATGTAGCCAGGATTGGAAAGTAGAGTGCCTCATTGAAATTGGTAATGATTGTTTCCATGCCAGAAGTGGAGATGCTGTAAGAGGTGATTTTCTGTATGCTATCTAAGCTGGCTGTGAAAATTGCTCTAAAATGTTTTCTGAAAATGACAGGAATATATAATACAAATATTTGTGTAGCATCTTAAACAGATTTTTTTCTTGGGGAAGAGCATTTTGTGTGTGTAATCTTTAAGATTTATTTAAAATGAGATGTCATTTCTCTAGGGTCTCATTACTTCTACTTCAGTGTAAGGAATATACAGGTGACAGTTTGAATGTCCTTGCATCCTGTGTTCTTAGACAGACAGTGAAGCCTTGTATATTCCAAAATTGTGGTGGGTTAGCTGGGTGAAATAGCATAGAAAGAGTTTCATGTATGATATATGGATAGAAATGCTTGGAAAAAAAGTATTTAGGATAGTGATTTTCTAGATTTTGGAATATTTGCATATGCATAATTCAAAAATTAGGATTAGGACCCAACCTTAGATATGAAATTAATTTATGTTTCACATAACACCTTATATGAAGTGTGATCAAAATATATGGTGAATGTTTACATTTAAAAATGTATTACAGTAAAAGGTTCATTGCTGTGAATCTTCCTCAAAATCCTCTCCTGCCATTCAAACACACTTATCCCATTGTTCTTACCACTTTCTGCAGCAGCTCTGGAAGTCTCCTTTCCTGAGTGTCTTTACAAGGTGTGATCAAAAATGCAGTGAATGCTGCTGACAAGTATCATCCAACAGAAAGGTAAAATCCTTACAGTGTGTCTTCGTCTCCCCGCTTCACCAGAACTGGCAGTATGCGACTTTTGCCTCTTCCTCAAAGTCAAAATGACTGTGACAGGTAAACATCTTGAATCATTTCAGGTCATTGAGGCAGCCACAACCACACAACCAAAGACACTCAGGAAAGAGGGTTTCCTGAACAGCCTCAAGAGGTGGCAAAAATTATGGAAAAGCTGTGTTGGGAAGGTGGGGGTGAATTTTGAGGGGGATTGTCAGCAATGTGTTTTACTCTAATACATTTTAAAATTCAAACATTAATCGTCTTTTTCCATCCCATGTCACCCTGAAATTAATTGTAGACAGTGTTTTCAGTGTGCTGTGTTTTACCTGTGACCTCTCATATAAGGCCAGGTATCTGATTTTCCAGACATTCAATCTGCATATGAATATTCTCCTGTAGGAGGAACTGGAATAAGTAGTTTTCTGATGTATTCATAGAGATTCATAAAGAAGCCTTGTCAGCCAAACAGTTGTTCTAGAATCTCTTTATAAAATAATTGTAGATTTTGAACCAAGACTGTGTTGAACAACCCAGAGCTTAGGTTGAGCCTCCCTAATGTGAAAATGTGAAATCTAGAATCTTGTAAAATCCAGATCTTTGGGAGCCCTGACATGATGCCCCCGGTGGAAAGTTCTCACCTTGACCCCAGGAGCTACGTCCCAGGGTTCCTTGGAAAGTGACAGTGTCCAGATGGCCAGGGAGCCTCTAGGAAAGCAGTGGAGTTGGTGCAAGTTCTAGCGGGTATTCTGTGTTAATTTTCATTGAAAAACTGTCTGAGTGAGGGGAAAGCTTTCATTCAACCATGGTAAGGTGGGAAAAGAAAAGACTGATGCTGGTTTTCCATGTATATGGATCTCTTCGTTGGATTTGGAATTAGAAGCGGGCTGCTCTCAACTTGTCCTGTTAGCGGTTCCTGGATTCAGGAACTACTTGCCTTGCCATGCTCACTGTTGCTTTCCGTGCTGACACAGTACCTGGGGCTTCACTAGCCTGCCCGGTTTGGCACTAAATCACGAGGCAGGAAAAGTCTCAAGTGGTTCCCACCATGCCTTATGAAGTACGGTTGACTCAGAAGTCTGTCAGTGTGGATAAGTGAGGAAGTGACTCTGTCTTGATTTGGGTGACAAAATGGAATGGAAAAGTCCTCATAATGGCCTGTAATGAGATAAACATCAACTCAGTGACAGAAAAGTTACAAATAAAATAATTATGTAACTTGTATTGTAAGAGGTGGAGCAGAATTCATTACTGGAACTATAGTTCAGGTTGAGAGCACATGCAGAGTGTCCTTTTACAAGGGAAAGGATTCCATTTTCCTTGTTCCTTTTTCTATACAGATGTGTGATGTGGACAAAGAAATGCATTGTTTCAGCAGTAGGGAGTCAAAGTAAAACTGACTGAAGGATGCAAGTTGAGAGTGAGCTTCAAGCTGAGATGAGGACATTGTTGTCAGTTTTTTGGTTTGTTTTGCTTTTCTTTGTTTGGATGAGGTGCTGGGGATTGAACCCAGGGCATTGTACATGCTAGGCAAGTGCTTTCCTACTGAGTACAGATGGGAGTGAGTAGTGGAAGCCCGGTGGTGGCAAGGAGTTGAAAAAGTGGAGGCATTTAGGTCTCTGGATTGGAATTCTGAATTGTGGAAATAATGATTCTTCCCAAACTGACTAGTGTAATCATTTTTTCTGGTTCACCAGTACAACTGCATTTTTTCAGGAAGGGCAACAAATAATGTAAGGATCCATAGTATCTAATAAATACATCCTTCCAATTTTATGAAAATTGCTTTATGAGTTCAGAGACAGTTGGTGAATATTACTGGACAAATTCAATACTTTGACTTCATAGGTGAGAGATTCTTTTCCCACATTACTTGCCTATCTTCTGTTCAGACAACATTTTTATATCCTGGATGCATTTGGGTTTTCAGATATCTCTTATAGAATAATACCATTAATTACTGGAGGATACATGTTTCTATAAATTATTGTGTATCTTCATCCAACAAACTGAAGGAATAATTGTAGGAAGAAAAAATATAGGAAATAAACTATGAATCTTAATTTTTAGAACTTTTAAAAGTTCAGCTAGAGGACATCATTTCCTCCCCATTAATTCAGCCACTTGACTAAAGGTTTTATGTGCATTTTGTCATCAATCCTCACAGAAACCTGGTTCACAGAGCAACACCTTCCTCAATGTGCCTGAAGAAATTCTTTGCGAGTTCAAAATCTTATTCTCAATACTACAACCAGAAAATTGGATGCAACTCTGCGAAGTAAAACTTCTTGTGTGCTTTAGCATATATGTTAATATCTTACACTTTCATATCCCTGTCTGTATTTTTAGCAAGTGAGCAGATCCCCAGTTAGTATATGTGGCTATGATACTGCTCTTTTCATAAAAGATACAAACTTTAAGAAGCTGCAGCTCTGCCATCAACAGTTTTCCACTCATGAACATTTTCATTTGAATTTCCTTTAAGAAAAGGAAATAGCAGACAGAAACTCTAAGATGTAAATGCACATGTATAACGTGAACTTTCTGGTCTTACTGGGACGTACAGAAAAGTTTTTGTGGGAATGGCCATGAGATAATTGCCATGATGGAGAGAAAGTACATTTGCTATGATTTTTGTCTTTATGGACTTCCAACTGAAGAAAGCATACTTAACATTTGACTGTTTTCTTTTACAAGATCTTTAAGACTGTTACTATACCTTGGTTCTGCCAGTTATTGGCCTTGTGATCTGGCTGAGATGCAATATCTCTGGGTGGTGGGGACTGGTGATGCAATCCATACAAACCATTTAGTGACACGTTGTTGGAGTGGGAGTGGGAGGAGTCTTCACATCCAGCTGAAGTTCTGTCTGAATGGACGGGAGCGGAACCCATGGTCGGGTCACTAGCAGACCTGCAGTTGTCCACTGACGGGGGTTGGTGTCCAAATACTGTCCGTGGACAGCTATGTTTTCAGATGCTGTGTTGAAGACATGTGAACGGAATTGAAGCCACATTTATAAATTTTAAACATTTAGATCAAGAAAAAATAAAAAACCTCAAGGTTTTGAAAACTCTATTCATTTTTATACATTTTGGGTTATAGAATATTCTGGAATATATTTTTGATCACACACACACATTCGTGCACGCACACACACACACTCACACCCTCTTAGTTGCTGTGTTGGTAAACGGAGAGGCTGATGCTATATTAATGAGTGGAAACATTTTAAAAATTAAAATGTTTGTGATATTCTTGAAAAAAGTATCTGTTAAGTTTATGAAACATTGGCCAGCAGTCCCTTTTTCCATTTAATTTGTTGAGAAACTATTTCATCATAAAGATGTTCCTAAATTTCATCCAGTATTTAAATCGTGAGATAATCCAAATTGATATAGTACGGAGAGTTTGCCTGAAGCAAAGGTTTTCTAGGGATAAACAGATGACAGGAAACTCCTTTTTCCGTGTGATACTTCCTGACCCTGCACAATGTTCTGTGGAGAAGAAAAGCTCCGCACATCTGTCCCTACCTCAGGAACTACCCTGCGGGCCCTGCCTGGGGACAGCAGAGGGCAGGTGTAGAAGGGGTTCCGGTCCGGAAGCGTGGTGGCTCTGTTGCGCCTGGTTTTCCTTCTCTCCCCTCTCCCCTCTGGGGCCTTCTTGTGACATCTGTCCTCTTTATTAGGAGGAGAGGGTTTGATAGCAGTCACTCGCCTGCGATCCTATAGCTCTGTGTGGCTGAACAGAACGTGCTGGATGTTA